TTAGTCGGTCGGCAAATGAATAACTGTGACGCAATGAAAGACATCTTTATCAAGACATAACCTGAAGTTGAAGGAGCTTTCTTCTTGAACGAATGGACGAGGATTGCATGGCACAACAAAATACAGGTGCAGGAAATAGGCCGAAGGAAATTTCATTCTACAAAACCAGCAAAGATTGTGACTTTTGGTACTTAAAGTCTCAAACCAAACCCAAGTGGAGCAATTGGGATTTGTTTTCACTACTCTGACCGTAATGCACTTTCCGTAACTAATCCTCAGTTCACATACTAATATGAATAGATCACGGAATGCCGCTGTTCTTCAGCCTGCACCCTAGGCTTTATTGGATGTTGCTAACACAAAATGGAGAAAAACACGCTCATGCATCGTTCCCATGCGAATTTATAAACTTTGACATCCGAAGTGTGAACTAACTCTGAATCAGAGATCGAGCCTAACGGAAGCCTACCATTCGTATGCCCCGATTATTTTTAGTACCACTAGGCAATTATGAAGGCAGATTGAAATTCGCATATATTTTTTTCAGTGTAACCACAATAGAGCTCTCATTTTCCATTACAGTACTCCGAATCAGTCTGTGATCGCAGTTGGATTTCACCTACTTTGTTCAGTTTGCCCACTTGGAACGTATCAAGTCGACTGAGGGACATGTCTCCTTCTACTGATCTTGGTGTTGATCAACTCTCGACCACTTGCCTCGGTCACACGATAATGACTGAGCTTCCTAGCTCTGGGTCCGACAAGGTTGAGTCCACATGCGTAATGGTGGACGCACATCTTAATGCGTTGTGCAGACGACGAGCACAAGGTGTGGCCACCTACGCGAAATGTGTAGGGGTGATTATTACGCCGGTCGTCGGACCAATCAGGAGGAAATCTCAAGCAGTCAATCGAGGGGCAATTCCGAATACGTTTGATCTTATTTTGAAAATTTTGAGCTAATTCCGAAAAAATGTGGAATATGGTATAGTGGAAAACGGCGCTATATTGTGCTATATAGAGAGGACCAACCCGTGATGGGTCTGCCTATATATCTCGAAATCATTCAAATAGATTTCGAGTGTCACGTATACCTCGGTATATGGACACTACTAATGATTCCGAGCAAGGATGAAGCAGCTGTACAGAGCTTCAGTAATTTTTTAGGGTTATCCAGTCTTGATTTTGTGATGAATCAAATAAATTGCAGATGTTTTTCTGTATAGCTTATTTACAGACAGTAGGCTTTGTCTGGTGTTCCACATGGATGACCCACAGAACCACATCTTTGTTTCTGACCTAAGTAGAAAACGGCCACACACATATGAGTTTGCTATTTCAGACGTTATCTGCTACACGCAGTTAGGCGGAACGTGATGTTTAGTTTTCATTGACCTGACAAACAGATTCGTTCGAAGTTCACGGCACTCACGGCCAAAAAAATAACGCACGAGCTGCAAGAAAAACAATGATCTTGCAATTTTCTCAAAAGACTGAATGTAAGCCTTGAAAATGACCGCAAATTCTCGTGCTCATCGACTCAGCTTGCATCAGGTTTTGGTCTCATGAGGCCTTTGTGGACAACCCGAGGCCACAGCACAAGTTGGATTTTTTCACCATATGTTCATATTCATATAAAGTTACCTAGGAAGCTGAGACTGAGAATTTTTGGCCTATTGGGTTTCTCAAAAGAAGGAGAATTTTCCCACCGCAACACGTAAGAAACGGCTGCGAACTCCATCCAGAATGACTACATGATTTCGGCTTATTTTGCTCGAAACTGTCGACTCAGTTGTACTATTCTGTAAGCAGATTTGGAAGTTCCTTCAGATCATAAAAGTGGATGAAGTGTACGAGAGATTTTTGTGGTTCCCGTAGGACATAATGGTTTAAAAAGTAACTAAACGAACACTTGTTTAATTGCACTTTTTAGTTTGAATAGCGTGATCGCGTGGTATGTACGCTGACTTTGTCCGTTGGCCACTCTTGAATTTTCCACCCGTGTGCGATTTGTAACTTGCACGATAAAACTAATTTATTAGGAAACAGTTTGACATAAATGATTTGCCATAAAATGCCGGCGTGACAGCAATTTAATTAAATGTACCCTTCAGATAATGAGAAACGATGGAATTGCGATATTAGGTTTTTGATGGAAATGTTTATTCAGTTAAAAAGCTAAAAATGGGACGCGGACGGTGGAGGATAGTTTGGATAGCTTACCCTATGCGCTTAGATCGGATTGGTGGCTGCACCAGCCTGTATTGCTTGCGTCAATCGATGCGTCCACTGTTACCCTCAACTTGGCTCAAATGCGGTGAATAACAATTTAAGCAGATTGCTTTTTAGACAAGCATTACAGGTATACTGTTGTCCAGCACGCTTCCGTGATCTTGGAAGTGGTACTTGATCGAACGCCATGGGTTACCACTTGGGGCTTTCGTTGGGGTTCTGGTAACGATGTGAGCAGATCTGTTCTTGTGGTCGACTATCATTCTTTGGCTTTTTCAGGTTGAGTCCAATGTTACTACTTCATGATATTTTATGGTTTTGGAATTAGACTCCAAAGTGTTACTTTCATCCAGACAGCACAGGGTGGACCCTGAAGTACAACTTCTGGCTTTCTAATGTTCGTTTTTTCTTTGTATTCTTGGATGTTATCACCAAATGGGCCGCCCCTTGTTCTCTAAAGATCGGGGACTCATGAATTACGAATGATGATATCTGCGTGGTTTGTCCATGCATCTTCAATGCCCAATTTGCCATCAACTCTACTGCAGTGGTTTGCTGTCACTTCATATCAGTTCGTAATCATCACTTTTATGCGTACGATGAGCCCGGCTGATTCTCGATCCCAGAATTAGCCCCGCCGGTGTGTCTAGCACTAACGCATATTTGAAACTGTGGCCCTAAGCTTGTGGCTGATTGAATGCAGACATTATGCGCCAATAAACTTCTTGTTATTTTCAGAGTGCCTAATGGAAACACACTAGAACCAGAACTTGTCACTTTCGAAAAGCAGATAGATGATCAATAGGATGTGGTCTTGGCCAAGGGAATATGAATGGTGTGTAATGGGAAATACATCTGCATTTTTACTCTCGAAAATCCATGTCTAGAGGTGGAATATAATGGGTGATATCCCGCTTACCGAATCAAGTTCCACGTTCCAATGATACATTCAATGAAAATATTGCAACTTCATTCGGTTTAGATTCAGCCGAGTGTTGTTCATCCCATTGAGAATTGACCGACGAGTCTAGCGCTGTTGGTGTGTATAATTAGATTGGTAATTAACGGGTCACTGTATATTCACTTGCGTTATTCGTATCCAACTTGCCGACCCACGATAACTCCGTTAGTGAAACATCGTCCCGGTAAGCGTAATGTCGCCAATTCGGCCTAGGCCCACAGCGGTGAACGTTGGATTTGAAAAACGCAAGTGTATTTTCCGTTTTACAAATGCATGAGTCCTACGAATCAGCCTGTCAAGAAAGGTGTTTTAAACTGAAATAACAAATTCAACGGTTAACTAGGTATTATCTCTTCATCATTGTTTAGGGAACAACCTTCTTTCATTGGATCATGCGATCATTTAGGAACAAGATAATGATAACGTTGTAAGTTAGACATTTATTGTCGTGTCGCTGTTTATTTTGCAATAAATAGGGCAAACTGTGATGGAATACTGAAGTCAAGGTGTTTACAAAGTTGATAGCCGAAAGTTATTAGGCACTTCTTCATGCTACGATATGCAGAAAATAGGTGCTTCTCGTGGAATACCTAGTAAAGCCCACATAAATTCTCCAGCGATATTCTTCCATAAACATTTATTTTTTGCATCGGCTTCGGCAATAATCGGAAAAACCATTGCGGCTCTCGTTTGCTGATACAGGTTACCCACTTGTTCTTTGAGAAAAAGCAGTTTTCATATGACCTTGTGTTCTAAGTTTCATAGGGTCTAATGCATGGCACAATATAGGCCTTTCCACGATCTTCCTTCTCCCGTCATGCGATGGGAGCAACTAGCTGACTTAAAAGAAAATAGCTGTCCAGATTCAGCTTTGCTTTCTTAAAAGACTGACGATTGTTTTTTCTGTTGGTTTTTCGATTCTTTTTCTGTAATCTACCAATTATAATCAGCCAGAGTGAACAAAGCTCTCGCACGTTTTGGTTTGATGTGATAAGTCTGGATCATGAAGACCGTCTAGCATAGCAATTAGCTTACCAGAAAATTTATTGTTTTTTGCTTCCCTGATTGGTTGTCCCAAAAGGGACTCGTTGAGTGGTCAATATAGTTGTTATAAAAACCCAAAAGAAAGATCAGACCGATTAACCTGTCGGCGGCATGCTTATCTTGCAAAACCTTCATCTGATTGTAATTTGTCTCCTTTGGATCAATGTTGAAGGCAGTAAGTTGAACAGTGATAACAATGCTAGTGATGATATCGATAACACAGTGCCCAGCAATGGGAGGCATTTTATTGTATTTGTGGTATGCTTCTGTTTAGCTATTCTAATAAAAGGCACTGAGATAGTAGGATCGAGTTTATTTGAGCGAACCTACCAGAGAATTCACGTAAACTTTAGTTACAAACTATTTACTGGGCTACTCACACGAACCCTGTTATTGGTCTTCATGGTCGATTATCAGGTGCAAAAATACTACGGTTGTCGTTTCAATGAGGAATTTTGGATGTGACCAATTTTTATTTGGGTAAATTGTTCTGGTCCTTTGGAAATTCGATTCCATTGTTTTACTTTGGTTTACCGGTATTGGATGTTTAGATTGGAACTCACCGTTTTCCTTCCGGTCGGCTTATCTAGATTGATCTCAAAGCTAATCATAATTACTGATCATAGTGTCTTAACTGTCTCCTCGTCCACTCCTACATCACGTCTTAAAATCCTGTTTCTCTTTGCAAGCTGGAATCAAAATAACGTTGTGGGAATTGAAACTAAGACTGGAGGGATTTATCCGATCTAATGGCCAACACGTCATGGATTTTGGAAATCAGCTTACAAATTGTAAGTGAATATGAGATTCAAAAAACTTTAAATGTACACATTTTCACACAATATTTTACTTGCACAGTTCACAGTTGTACGGAAAACATCACAAACCTCGATCAATGGACATAGCTAGAGGTAAAATTAGTGTTTGTGTAGACTGTTAATTTGTGCATAAGAAATAGTTGTAACTTCCTTGTGGTGTTATTTTCTGTGCCGTTTTAATTCACTGTGCTCTCACTGGTTACGAAGAGAATATCTTGTAACATTTGCACTCAACTATGGATAATGTTTTGTGCGTGAAAACCTAAGATATTATTGTATATTCTACCCACAAAAACAATGCCTATACGTTCAGATGACAAACAGAAATGCAGAGAACTCTGGAACCGTTTTGAGAATGCTACTATCAGCTTGACTGCAGGTTAGTAAAATGTCATGACATTCTCACAAAGTATGACTGGGTAATGAATCATTTTACTGAATAACCGTGCCACTGCTTCTGCACATTTCTACGATTTTGTGAATGGTAACGTTTTTTGTATGAATAGTCAACGTGTGATAAGTGATTTCATCCAATCAATCCATTTTATTAGAAAATAATAAAATAGATGTGAAATATGGCAATATGATTGAGATGTAATTTGTCGTAACCCAAGTTGACAAATCTAAATACCGCAAACAGTTGATTTCTGAAATTTGCGTTTACATATCCCACTCATTTTAAACCAGAAGTCGTAAAATACAGTCTTTTCGAAAGGACCTCCAGTTTGGGTGAGTAATCAGTCATTTTCATCATATTTTCTAGGCTACAATATTTTGAAGGTGATGCCGCACGTTCGGTGTTTTTCAAAGTGTTGGTGTCCCAGCATGTGTCTCGTGATTGCACAGTCACGTGTGAGTAATACATGTGGTGCTTCACTTGGCTACGCCTCCTCAATGAATATCAAGCTAGTAAATCGTGAGGAAGTAGGACTTGAATTCAATGAAGCTATGAATGAACTTTAACTCCCAACGATGACAATGTTTTGAAGCTTTGATTATGAAATTCGTTCCGATAATTGCTTTCCTTTGTTTCCTTCCAAATGCGAATGTATGTAGTAAATGGGAAAAGTGTTCTTGCGATTTGAAACAACCGTACATAGTGAAGCCGGAAAATACACAATAGATCCCCTCACGAACAGATGTGCTCATGAATCTTTGCTTTGATGTGTTTGGATCTAGTCAGAATGAAACGGTCAGCCATGCTGTAAACGGAGGTGACTGGTGATTGCTCCGTTCAAATATGTTATAGCTGGAAGTAGTACGGTGTAGTTTATGAATGACGGCGTAAAATTTCCCGGGATGCACACGATTGGTTTCTCGGCCATTGATGGTTTATGAAACCGGTCGTGTGCTTCCGGTAAAATATTATGCTGTCACGACGCGGTACGCGTATTGTGAAATTCCATACTTGGGACTACTTTCTGAAGGTTAGCCGTGGTAACGGGCGGAATCATTGGAAGAATCTCCTTTCGATTATAAAAATGGCATTGTATTCCAAACAAAGTCCTCACGAAATAAATGGGATGGCAATGCGAATCTACCATCCTTATAAAACATTGATTAGCAACGCTTTCATAGATGCATTGTTGTTGTGAATTTATTGTAATGGAAGTTGAGTAAAAAAAAATAGAACTTAAAATGCTATTTTAGAAGAAAACAACGAACCGAGTAGAAGGGGCTCCCAAGTCCATTAAGACAACATAGAAACAACAATTATATAGAATTATTTTAATAGGCGTTCGAGATATAATTGGATAATATAGAACTCATTTGAAAGAATGACACTTCAGATCGTGAATACGGCCATCTTAAAAATTCGTCGTATTTCGTATCCGTATTTGTCTCCCTTTTTTATCCTTTAATGAAGTCTCTTTAAAGCTGTTTGTATTTTTATTCGACAGAAAAGATCGGTTAGTAATAATTTCGAATTTCAAGCACGCCATAGTAATGAGAATGTATTCACCGCAGTAACTTATAATATCAGTGTCTGTAGCACGGCAGTGCCATATAGTTCATAGTCTGCCAAGTTGCACATTCCAAGGATAAACTACGATTATGCAATTATTCTACCTTTTTACATTCAATATTTGTATGTGCCTGTGAATATGCATATGCTGCATCTATCATTAAGACATGCTACCGAGCCCGTTTATCTGAAACGAGATTCATGTGCGATTTTGCAAATTTGTATCAAAATTGTCACTCCTGTCACCGGTGCTAAAACTGCACCCACCTATTTTCTTCACATTTTTTATTCCAGGAATATCATTGTACAAGGCTATCCAGGCGAATTCCCACATAATACGACTGCTCAATCTGGCAAAACCTCAACGGATTCCAACAACAATGCCACGTAAGTGTTTTGCAGGCACAGTGAAAATGTGGATTTCATCCGATTCCACTTTTTTTCTGGCGATTCGTTCCAAACATTTTGTGAAATCGTGCATAGTCACTATAAGGTTAGGAAAAACACGCCAGCTTTTGCACCAAAAACGCAATACTGTGGCCATTCCGCGAGCAACACATATATATATATATATATATATATATATATATATATATATATCTTATGCCTGTTACCACCGGTTTCAGAACAACGGATAACTGACTGACACCTTATTGGTTTGATCTGCGACTGAACCATGGGCAAACTCTGTTTCCACAGTCAGCTAAAATTCGATAGGGAAGAAGTTCAATGGGTACCACTTTTGCACTTTCATTTATTGTCTGAGACAATGTGATATTTGGACAAGCGGTGAAAAGCAGTTATTACTGCACAACTGTTTGGATAACAAGACAGACAAATCAAATAAACATAGCAACCTAAAGATCCCGAAAATATTGTCGGTCGATCTGTGCAGACAATCCATCCTTCGAGCAGAGATAACAAATTGGTCAAAACGACATTGTATTACTTTGATTTAGCTACTCTTTTTTTGCCTGTAAAGCGTCTTTTAGTATCAAAAAACAGTTTTAAAGTGTTCCTGTGAAAGATATTACTTCAAAAAGTGAATCTGTGGCAGAGAGACGACGGCTTAAAAGTAGTGTGAAAATGAAATCATTGAAAATTATGTCATTATAGATCCGATTCACCTTGAGGACTGTTTGTTTTGACTCACAGTACGAAAACAACTCTTGCATTTTTTTACAACTTATCTCTGATCCTCACACGAAGAGCGGATTATTTCTTTCCAGTACTGAGTGAGTCCAAATATTTGTTGAATATTTGACAGGTTGGAAACACGCTGAATATAGTTATGATCGACTGCATCACCTTGTTTTTCGGAACAAATAAATAGAATTGAGTAAAGTGAAAACAAATAAATACTCCTTATTCTCGACCACTCCTCAAACAAAACTAAGAGATCGCAATAAAAAAATTGACATGAAACGCGGTAGATCCATTTTATTCGTTCTTCAATTCTTGGTGGGACTTCATCAAGGTTGTTCGCAGTTTATATCGTCTATTAGAGTTTTGCGAACTGGGAATCCCTAAGATACTCAATAAACTAGCTTATTCTGTGTGTTTAGTTAATCAGTACTAGTTTGCAATTTAGGTTAGAATTGGTGATGTGAAGTTACATCTCATGAAACATAATATTATTTTTGAAGTGTCTTTTGTCACAGTTTCCCAAACATACGATTTTCTACAAACAAAAACAATTTAAATTGAATGATTTTTTTCTGTTCTTGTGTTCCGCCATATGTTTGGGTTTCAGGCCAAATGTCGATCATAAGAGAACATATGGACCGGAATTTGCACGAAATACAGGGGCTCATTGCGGAACTTCGACCCAAGTCTCCAAATGTGGTTGATTGATCATCAACTCTAACTGAACTTCCAAGGGCAGAGTTTTGATATTGTGAGCAAAGTTTGGACTTCTTGGCATTCAAGTTATTACATTCAAAACAACCTAAAAATTGCAAATTACTTTTGCTGTGTATAGTTTAGCAAGATGAAAAGACAAATTTATGTTTACTTATTGAATTCAAGACAATTTGAAAGAATATCACTTGGATTCAAACACTTTCTCTCTTATCGTCTTTTGAAATACAGAACATGGTTCATTTTACTGCAAAATTCTTTCCTCAACTGTGGACTGCACATCAAAGAAACCTCATTTTCTGGCCCCTCTACACGAGTTTCATTTTCGGCGTTTTGCCACGACATTACATCGTTTCATGTTCCACGATGTAGATCGCTTCGAACTTGTTTCAGTCAGTCAACAATGTCAGACTGTCCATGGTTTTGAAAAAATACTATCCTTAATTGAGTTATGTTTTCTCTAAGAATAAGCACTCACGCAAGCGTGTAATTATTGATGCAGTGTACAGTATGTATTGCATGAAGATTTAACCTGAGTATGACTTGCCTGATTGGTTGGGCATGCACTATATACCATTCTATAAAAAGCAACAAAAGTCGGTCTGACTCAAAACCTTAACCCGAAAAAAAATTCAGGAAGGAAACTGCCAACGATGATAGCTGTTACCCAATTGAGGTTCTGGGAATGTGCAAATCAAGCGTGGGACTGGCCAGCGCATCTGAAATAATTACCGATTACAAATGATCAATTCATTTCAGTAGGAAGAGAGTTATTCAAAAGCACGCTATAAGGTGTTCAAAAATGTTTAGTGGGGTACGTACTTTGTGTACCAATAGCAGATATAGCTCTGAATAAATAAAAAAGCCAAAAGAAGGCTGCGTGCTGGCCACGAATAAATCATTGCCAGTCAAAGGCGTTTATTTCTTCCAACTGATCATTGCGGACAACAAAAGGATAAAGCATCGCAGGCGTCATCCCTATGAAGATACGTGGGATTTGAAAAACATTTTCCAAGATAAAATGTATACCTCTTCTACAGACTGCAACAACAATGGACACTCGCACAGTGCTGAAAAAAGTGCAAATGCGTCAAACAGGCAGATGCAGATAACTCGGAGCACTACAGTAACCTTACCCAATTTTGTTGAATAAAATATCCTCATTCATTCAAGCAAATCGAATTTCTCTGTGTTGATTTGCTCGTGGCCATCTGTGGATAACTACAGTGTTGTACGATGAGCACCTCGAACCCGAGCTCCATCGAAAGTTTCAGAATTATTATCCCATCCTGCCTTTTATTACCTATTTCGCTACGATCAGTTGCGCTGGAACTATTTCGTCAAACTGCTACCTCAAGAACTATTTTATTCTCTGGTTCTGTATAATGTTCATACATTATGATCTTACGTATTATCGTTTGTATAACTGTTCTTTCTTTGAACGCAGAACGGTTTGGCTGCTATTGACTTAAGTGTTCGCTCAAAGCCTGTCCGGTGGAGCGCAACTCATGTCCAGTCAGTAGAAGCTTGAAAAAGAGCGGTGACTTCTGGTTCTGGCATCAAGGTTGACAAAGATCATCTTATGAAATCTTGGTAATGTTTCCTCTGTCGCCGAATATTGCAGGTAGATGTTTCGTGTTCTTCTCAGTGCGTTGTTACAAGCGAGCCAAATTTTATGTTTAAATTCTGTACAATTGGGGTAGTACAAGGAAAGAGTGGCATGTATCAGAACTTATGAAGAAACGAGGGACAAATAATAAAACGAACATTTCCATACCATTACAAAATTTACGATTCTTTATAACTTGTTGACACATTAGCTGTCAATTTTTTTTGGCGAGGTATATATTATCGCAACATGTCATCCTGTTCCCATTTCCCCTTGGGTAGATATATCGTGTACCTGTAGATTTTGCCACCATCAGATCTTTCATTATTTTGGCATTTATCCAATTCATTTCTCCAGTCACGGCTCACGATCGATACAGTCATGACCATTTCAAACGATCCACACGCAGACCGCCAGTGGATCGCTCACACAGTCATTGATACTCTTGGTGTTTGATTCCATCCAAACAGTCATACGCTCAGCTAAAAACTTTACTGACAATTGATTCCAATTCTGACCTTGTGTATAGGCACACACATACACATGAAAGTTGACGCTAGCCATAATCCATTCCACATGATATTGACCAATCAAACATTGGCCTTCCGTGACCTGTTCTGACTGTACTCTCGCCTTGCGTTTCCGTTAACATGCGGACCCACTTACATGTTGGGCTCCTGCTCACAATTTCGCTCACGCTTGCCGCACGCTTGTGCTGTATACACTTGACTTTTGACTAGCCAAATCAATGCTCTGTAACAAGCTGAAATGGCGTAGTGACGTTCTGTCGCCTCAAACGGTTGGTCAAACGGGGGATATTAAATCCACCACAAATTGTTGAATCATCCTTTTATCAGCAAAAGCCAACCTGTGCACTTTAAACCTTGTTGTGTGCACTCCGACAAACTGAGACAGGCATTGCTTGAATTCAAAAATACTGTGGCGGGTAATGTGAAAGCAAGAGAAAGGCGTGAATACCAAGGCGAACGGACTAACCAACCGAGTTTCACAGAGAAAAGAACAGACGGTGAATATGTTGGAAACTTTTCGAGGCAGACAAACAACAGCATACAAAAAAAGCAGAGGGGAAACAGCGGGACCTCCGACAACCAGCCAGATAACCCAGGTGAGGGTCAATTGTTCAAGCAGTCAACTGGGAAAATCGGACCAGGCGAATAGGAATATTGCCCAAGAGAAGCAAGCTATCGGCCACGGGCAACTGGCCAGAACGCAGCCGAAGCACTGAAACAGCGGCGGGAGTAATGTTGGTGCCGCAGAGTCTGGAAAAGGGTCCATATAAACGATTGTGTTTCATGAGCTTGACGTGTTTGGCCGTTGGAACACAAGTATCCTAACCCGTCTTGATGTCCCTGTTACAATAAGATGAACCTACGAATAACCCGACCCTCGTTAAGTCCATGATCCACACCACTACACATGGTTCCGAGGTCACAGAACGATTTGAAACCCAGCGGGGACTATCCTTTACTCAACAAAAGTACCATTCCTGACTGGTACCCTAATCCACATTCACATGACTTTGCACACAACCTCTTTGAGAGAACCACATTTTCTATGATCTACCTTGTTAGAGCATATCATCAAATCCCCGTGGCTGAAGAAGACACCACTATCACTACTTCTTTCTGACCTTTAAGTTATGAATTTTACCTGTCGTGTATGGTGTTTTTAAAAACAGTACGACACAATTTTCACGAGTCCGTCTCTTTGGCTGTGTGTAAAACAACAAGCTCGACAAGGGAGCTACAAATAAAGCCCCATCGTTGAGATACACAAAAAGTCGTGTTAATATGCATGTTTTTCACAAACAAATAAGTACAAATTTCAAGCGCGTAATTTGTTTACTATGCTACAGATTGGATGGTTGCAAGAGTAATATAAATTCAGTTCACTTGCATACTGAAACTTGGTTGCAGACGTCATGACCCAGTGAATGTGTCAAATGTGACATGGAATGTTCCCACCCCGTCCACCTATTTATTACCTATCCCGTTCTTATGGTGTTTCGGACATCCATAGCAACGCTACTGTAGAGCATACTCAGTCCGCGATGTAAGAGCGCTAGGTTTGTCTTAGGATGAGCCAGAGTAGTGAAATGCAGCCAAGGGTAGCAGACAACCAGGGTTAGACACCGATGATGGTAAAACGATCATCCTCGTGAGCTATTAATCCTTCTGTCCCGGGTTTGAATCCTGCTTCCGTGGCCGATTACTTTCCCCGGTCGGCAGCCTCTAGTTGGTCTCAACCAATTATCTGAAACGTTGCACTAATAATACACAATAAAATGAAGTAGAAACATAGATATATGTATAAAACATATTTAAATGATTCTAGTTAGTTCTAACGTTATCATGTGTTCTAAAAACCTCCACACTTACATACAGTTTACGTTGTTGCTCTCTAGTTGGCGTAATGGATATCTATTCAGAGTAGATGGTTACCGTCAACCTAGGGTGAATTTAGGCAATACCTATCGGGGTGAATCAAGTAATTGCAGATTATTTTCTTTGCACGCTTTGCTTGCCCATTTATAGGAACCGTGATTTGTCGTACCTGAATTTCTGTTGGCCTGTTTGATTGAATGATGGCTTAAACTGGTCTTCGCCCAAAGTATCTAAGGGTTTGTTGAAGAATTGTTTGGCAGTGCTTGGTTATTCCCTTTAGCATTCACTAGAATCTTCTAATCTCCTTGTCTTTTCGAAACTCATTTGATATCGTCTCTTCTTGAATTAGTCGATATCCCATATAAATGAAGCTCACTGATACAAAATGTATTATGATCTACACCCATCTCTTCGTAGGTTCCACACACGAAGACATCCCCCGTGTACTGTATCCTTTTAGAAGGACAGGCATATCAAAATGAATCTACGCAGTTCTTGATGTTTTGCGCGACCTCTAACAAAGACATATGACCCAAAAAATTAACTTAGAAGTATCCTTTTGCTTGCAAATTAAAACCTTTCATGTGATGAGCGATTACTTCTTTCCGGTTATGTTAGAATCATTATGGTATAGCCATGCACACTTCATACGAGTTTTCACGTATGTTACCGCAGTCACGATTATGGTGTTGAAGATATCTATCTCGGTAAAATACTCCTGCTTATTGCTGAAACCCTTCAAGAACAATAGTCTTATTTTTGAAAAGGTTTTTCTGGGCACATGGTACACAATAAATGGAAAAGAACTTTAAAAAAACCTAGAGCCTCTTTTAGAACAAAGCTCGGGTGTTTGAAATTAGTTCTTTGCAAACGTGTGCTGACACCAAGTGCCTACCAGTTGTGTTAAACAACATCCTTTGGGCTACACAGTGCTGTTTCATCTTGTTGGCGCCAAAGAATACTCGCGCTACGAGCCAAGC